GGATTTAGCTCAGCGGCAAAGCGCCTGCCTGGCAAGCGCAAGGTCGTGAGTTCGGTTCCTGGTACTGGAGAAAAACCAAAAAAAAAAAAAAAAAAAAAAAAAAAAAGAAAAAAGGTGTTCTACATAATTTGATGGTGGTAATTTAGACAGGCTGCATTAGTACCTATCCCATTGGCAACTATATTTAACATCTTTAGGAGGCTGAGGAGGAGTGAGTAAAATCATACATAGAAGTAGAAATTTGTAGTAGGAATAAGGTACAGAAAGGTTAAAGTGGGCCCAGTTCCTAAAGGATTGCCTGTCACCAGTGGTATGCTGCTTGAATGATAAGTTCTTCTAGGAGGAATAATAATAAATTTTCAAATGGTGCAAGTCAAGACTGGAAGCATGGGTAGATAAGTCTGATGGAGAAGGACTAGTGCAGAGTGTATTCATCACATTATATGCAGAAGATGACCTTGTTTTCAAATTTTGGTTCAATAATGTAAATTTTCACAGGTTGACCTAATGATTTCATTTGCACTGTATTCTGAAATAAGATGAGAGAAGGTTTATGTAGGCACATGTACTTTTTACATAAGGAACAGAGAAACAGAAAATAAAAACAGCCTAAGGCAGTTCAGTGGGGACTGCTATGACTACATAACTTCCCTCTGAAGACCTTTAAAAGCCTCTATTGAGTAGGAAGTAGAAAAATTACTAAAATTCATCATTTTGTGAGTTAAACTGAAGATACCTGATACTTGTCTCAGAAGTCAAGGCTTTCAGCTGTTTAAGGGCAAGATAACTTTTGAAGTTTGGAAATGAGAGAGGAAAATTAAATCAACTGTAGTGGGTTAACATGAGGCAGGATGGAGGAAGGAATGAAGACAGAAGAGATCATCTAATTTGCACAAACCAAAATTGCAAAGTACACACACATATCAGAGTTTAATAATTTGCATGTATAAAAATTACACTGGGAATGTCTCTTCTTCCCTGATTCTCTTTAAAGAAAATCCAGGAAGAAGCAAGAGCCAGGCAGCAATGCTGGTTGCTCTGGTTCACACTTTGGCTTTTGAATGGGACTCTTTTAAGCCACTAAAGCTATGACCCTGTATTCCTAAGGCAAATGAATAATGCTATTTGCTCTCTCTTTTATCTATTTATTTACTTTTTGATTGTCTCTAGGACAGGAAGTGCAAGTGGAGTGTACAAGAGAATGCTTTTCTTTCTCAAGTGGTTCAGAAATGTATCTAGTTTTCCCACATTGATTCTACTTTAGCTTTAGTGATGAGTCCAGGATATGCAAAGGGTCTAGAGATTAATCAGAAATAACTGAATCCTCTGACATACCAATAAGTGTTTTAATTATCAAAAAGAACAAAAAGAATCAAACATAACCCAAACAAACAATTCTTAGACCCCTTAAATACAAATGGAAATTCTTGGTATTAAAAAAAGTAAAAGAAACACAAAACTCTTCACCTTTACCTTTCTAGGAACTTATTGTTTTCTGGTTTGCAATTCTTTTGCTGAAAATAATTCCTTTCAAATGCTTGTTTGTGTAATTGTAGCCTTCAGCAATTAAGTTTTCTATTAGTTTAGTTGACTTCAATTATCTAAAAAAAGTTTGTTTAAAATAAAAGCAAAATGTGTTCTGGAACTAGAAATTGACCAATCTCATTACTTCAAATAAGGTATTTTTTAAAAAATTCACTTGATGGTAAACCCTATAGATACATTTTGGAACAATAGTGGTTCCCTGTGTATACACTCCTAGGCCTTATCTTACTAATGCCTTACATTGAGGAGAGCACTGTTCTTTTTAACATAATACTAATAAGCCAGTTTCTGTCCCAATTGCTTGGATAGTCTGAATTTCTGTAGATACCCTCACTCCTTCTGGGACTGCCAATTTTCATGGAAACACATCTTATGGTACACTATCCCACATTCTGTAGATTCTTTCAGAAATATCAGTACTAGGAGAAAATATATTTCAGAATATTAAATTACCAGGCAGTTTTTAATAAAGTTTAACTAGCAACTGCCCTCAGTTGAAAGAATCCTTGTCATTTTTAATTACCAGTCAGTTTATACCAATACTGTTCTTTTCTGTATCTTTAAACAATAATGGCAAAGATCCTCTGGATATTTTGGAAATCAGTCAGCCAGTTAGTGCAATAAGGCCATTTACTATACTGTCCTTTGCTCCTTTCTACAATTTTGGTCATTTGAAGGGATCAAGTCATCCCTTTTGTTCATTCTTATTCTTATTGAAAAGTTGTGGAAAACATGGTAGAAAAGGTAGAAGCTAAAGCTATTGGCACAAAGGAAGCTTTGGATCACCTGTGAATTTTAAGCATCTCTTCCATTCCTGACCCCTCAATGGCATGGATAATTTAGTATCTGAAGGTATGAATAGCCACAAGTGACTGATAGGAACACATCTACTTTTCACAACATGGTTCCAGGAGCAGCTGGGCCCAGTTTCCGTTTCTGCTGGTGCGCTGTTCCTGGGTCCTGCAGGCTTGCGGCCTCTGGCAGCTGCTGTTCCTTACAGTGGCGTAGGAGCATGAGGCAGTGACCACAGATACCTGGCTATGGCTTACAGCAGGGTTACACAACTGCACACACACAACGGCAGAAAAAGAGCAAGAGCTGAAAAGGTTGTGGTTTGGGCCCAAATCACTAGTCATTTCACTTCATGAATAAAAACAAATGCTTTATAAGCTGACGTTATTTACAATGTTCAGATTTTTCAAACATCCACCCAAAGCCGAGGACCACCACGCCACAGGGAACGGTTCAATGAACTATGTACAGAATTTACAAGGAAGTTTACACCATAATCTACACTCTGTTTCCATTAACAAATGCCTTTGCTTTCTGCTGGCTTTCAGGAAACGTATTCTTGTTTATTCTGTGGCTTTCTTCATCCCAGCACCCTGATGGTGTGAAGCAGCTTGAGCTCATGCTTGCGCTTTCCTTTTGCCTCCCTTGTGGGACATATGAGTATATTTTATTTAGGAAAAGAAATGGTGACACATCACTGTTTGTTAAGATACTACTCAAAATTGTCCATAGAAGAAATTCTGGAGATCACTTCCTTCCAGAAGCATTTTATATACATCTTTTTTTGTTTGTTTAACTTGGCAGATCATAGTTGAGCTCTTTCCTAAATGAATATTTATAAAATAGTCATTGATTTTTAGAAAGATGGAATTTAGTTCATATTTCTATGTATTGTGCATAATGCTTTTAAAAAGGAAAGCCTGTTCTTGGACCCTTAAATCAAATTTAAGCTCCGCACCGTATTTTTGTTTGCATTTTCGAGAACCCTCATTGGCTGTAATGCACAGTAAAAATGGCGAGTATAGAAACACAGGATGTCAGCAGGCAGAAGTACTGACCAGGCTGCTATTTCTTTTTGGTGATAGAGAGGATGGAAGCAATAATTCTGGATAATTCAAGCACAAATAAGTCTTTACCTGGGTCTTTGATTCACATAGTTGGTAAGCATAACGTCCATGTCATCTCTGCGAATTTTAAGACAAGGAATGTGAATAGAAGGAATGAGTGTGTAGTCCTCATTGTCAAGTGAAAGATGGGGTTTCTGCTGCATCTGCACACATTAAATCTACAGTCCGTGTCACAGTTGATGAACTGTGAGTGTGGGGTTCCTGGGACATGACTGTGGCCTGAGAGTGAGGCTGTGGAGTTTTTCAACCTCTTCTGCCACTTAAGTAATATAGGGGGTAATGGCTCTTTTCATGGCAAAAAGAAAACAATCTAAGAGTAATTAAATAGTAACCTTTGTATAATGTAGTAATCGGAAACTTTCAAGAATAGGGGCTGGTATGAGGGCATTTAAGGATGTTTCACAACTATTATGTTTTATGTACACCAACTGGGGCAAGACAAGGGAGACAGCCAGAGAAGGGAGGATTTTTTCCCATGCTTTGTTCAACCTAGAAGGGGAGAATTTAGCCAAGAGGAGAGCCAAGGTGGAAAAGATTGGTCTGGAAAGTGTGCAAAAGAAGGAAGTGGGAACAGAGGTCATTAATCATGAGCATGGAAATGTCTCCATTCACCTGTTTGCTATTGCCTCTAAAATTAGAGCTGTTTGATAAAATATTCATAATAGGGGCTGTGATCTCTCTACTGCCTGGATGAGGATACCACTTTGTGTCCTGTGGGTAGCTTCAGTTGTAATTTTACATTTTACAAAGGTTAAAATACAAGAGCTCAAAATATTCTCTCTCTTGTTTTCAGAAGATATTTTACATGTAAAACTACAGGAAAAAATACTTCAGATTTTTCAATGTAAGATAGAGATAATAATGAAAATACAAATTACCTCAATCTTTTCCAAGAAGAATGATCTAAGCAGATAAAGAGAAATTGTTTTTTTAAGGAGCATAGATTACGGATACTTACTTTCTGATTTAACATTTCATCACTAAAAGTGCTTTAAAGAGCTTTGACATCAGAATTATTCGTTTCTGTTAGGCACCAGTCAGAAATGTTTCTTCCTATGTTTAAAATAAATGGCTACACAGTGGTTCTTGGATGATCACTAGGATTATTAACCTTACAATTACTGACATGGCCACATTCTGTCTTGTTAGAGCATTTTACAATGGCAAAGCATCTCACCCTGCAAAAGAACTGAACAGAATTTCAAAATAGATGTCTTCTTACCCACGGGCTAGGTATTACTTTGACCATGGAAGTGTGTTCACACAACTGAAAACCTAAATAAAGACCTGGTCCTCATAACTCTACTAATTCCTGATGAAACCATTGAGATCATTTTTCTAGTTAAAGTGGAGTTTTCATATTCTTACTAATGTACATTATGCAGCCATCCCTATTTACTTTTCTCTTCTTTCTGAAAGAATATTTCAACTCTCTCTGGGCCCGCCTGTAGGAATTTAGCTTTATCTCTCCAATTATGACTATAATTTCCAGTAGTTTATGTTATTCTATACATAAATCCTTCCCACAGATTTAGGGAGAAAGTCAGCTCATCAAATGAGACAACTTTCCCTATTAATACCTCAACCCTGTCTTACATTCATGGATCAGGTGCCAAATCACCTCTCTCACTGGTTGGTCAAAGTAGGGCTATCACTCAACCTTGCAAATGAATATACAGAAGTTTTAGATAGGCAAACTGAAAAAAAATAGATTTAAATGACATAAAATTGGAAAAATTTCAACTGTAGCTGGTTGGACATGTTTAGAAATGTGTTGCACTATTGAAGGTCATGTGAACCAGAACCCAGAGTAATACATGAGCAGAGATAAGGCAGAGCAAGAATGATAGTGATTATGAGTGTAGACAGGATCCACATGCTTGGGGGCTGGTGCACATGTTTGAAAGCCCACTGCTTTTATCATTGCTGTTATTTTTATCTGGTTTTGCTACCTCAGAAGTTTTCTGGCTTTGGAGGCGAACAGTACCCATATGGGTGAGTATACATTTCCCCAATCATTCATTCCAGAGCTTGGAATGTGGAGCTCAGCGAGCAGAGCCATCATGTATCCGTTGACACCTGTGTGATGAGCTTGTCACCATTAGCTACTGCTCTCTGGAAGGCTAAGGAATATACACTATTTAAGATTTGGCCGTTTAGATAACTTCCCAGACCCCCTTCCACAGCACATACATTTTGCCTTCCTTACCAAAAGGGCAACTTTTTTCTTAAGCAAAAATTGCTTTCCATCCCCTCCTTCAAAGTCTTCCCTGCCTTATCCCACATATCGTTTATCTCTCTGGAGAAGGAACTGTGGAAATGTCATAGGATGGCTTCATAGCCCAACCTCAAAGGATTCCAGACTCATAAGATGAATTCAGGGCTGCTCATGGAAATTTTCAGTCAGGGTTGACATCCCTCTGTCCCAACACTTCATTCTCAAGAGGAGAAGAAAAATGTTCTCAATGGCTGTCAGTTTTGCCAGACTACATTCTAATGTTCATTGTACATCTGTGTGGACTTCTGAAAAAGAAGCATTTCTAAGGAAATCCAGCCTTCTGGTGAGGGAAAGACCGAGGTTGAGTGCGAGCAGCCATGACCAGCCCTTATCAAATCCTCCCTCCACTTCCATGGAACTGAGCAGCCCTTCCACAAGGGGTTCTGGGGAACTTAAGAACAAAAGGAACCTTCCTTACTTTCCTAGGAAGCTCCCTTTGGTTTTCCCCTCTTCCTGGAAATCTGTAATTATCAATGGCTTTTGTTTTTTCTTCTGAGATCCTGGAAATTGTGGCTGTAGTAGTTTCTTTGTTTTGTTGTGTTTTTTAGTTTTTTTTTTTTGTTTGTTTGTTGTTGTTGTTGTTGTTTTAGCAGCATGAGATTGTTTCAGGTTACCAGGAAGTAGTGCAGAGGGACAGCAAGGTCCTCTTTTTGTTTGCATTTAAAAATAAATCAATAAAATCCAGGGCAACTAGGAAAGACTGCTAAAGATCTACCTATCTAACTGCTCTCTTTGTCTTTGTTTGTAAACATGGCAATTAATAGAGCTCTTTCAAGAGCTGATAACCTGGACCACAGTAGACTGGAAAAAAACAGTTGTTGTTGGTTTTGTTTTGTTTTTCTTGAAGTAAACACGGTGCAGTAATAAAGTCGGTACGCAAGACCTAAACTCAGTGGGATGGCTGCATCTCTTACCTCAGAAGACACAGCGATGTCGCTGTTGGGGACCTGCGGGGTTAAAAACCAAGAGAAGAGGAAAGTAGTCTAAATTGAACCTTTAAGACAGACCTTAGTGTACGTAATAAAGCCAATAAACGACGTTAAAAAGGGAAAAGGTGATGGGGAAGAACATTCGGGACCACTTGTCGATGGAATTGACATCAGTCAAGTCGGGGATTTTGACTTTGAGCTGGGAGGCGCGCCGGCGGATGCGCCCCTTGCTGGGCACCCCGTGCCGGTCCAGGGCGCGCCCGTAGCCCTCGCGGCTGCTCATGGGCTTGCGGTACTGGATGCTGGCGCTGTCGTAGGAGTACATGGTGGCCTTGGGGTCACTCACGCCCGTGAGCACTTCAGAGCCGCTGGTCTCGTTCCTGATTTCCAGGGTGCTGAGGAGAATGTTGCCGTGAGCGTCAACCTGAAGGAGGTAGGGACGACAGGCTCAGCCAGGGCACTGATTTTCCATAAAATTGTTACGGATGACACAACACAGGGCTCATTGTACGTATGTATGTATGTGTGTATGTGTGTATGGATGGATAGATGTGTATTTACTGCGATACTGGGGGAGATATACCCACAGCCTCATACTGAACTATATCCCCAGCCCTTAAAAAAATTTTTCCTTTTAAATTTTGAGACAGGGTCTTGCTAAATAGCCCAGTTTGACCTCGAGCCTCAGCCTTCAGAATAGCTGTTCACCCTCCACCCTCGGCTTCCCCTTAACCATTTATTTTTTTGTTTTGCCCTTAATCATTTTTGATAGACACCAGGATCTATGTGTCTCCTGCATGTAAGAGCTTTTCTTTTCCTTTTGTATTTTCTTTCTTCCCTCCCTAATTTCCTTTCTCTTCTTTCTGTATCGTTTATCTTGCTAATTATCTAGCTATCATGTCTCCATTCAGAAAACGTGTGTGTGTATGAGTGTGTATGTCATTTCTTCTTGCTATAAATATGGTACATGGAAAAAAAGCTAGAAAAAAAGTAAAAATTCATATTGCACCTTCATAATCAATCCCAGTCTTTTCTGTTAATGTATACTCACAAACACGTGGTCAGCCATACACTTCACCTAGCAAACCTGCCTTTGTCAGTTATTAATATAACCTGCTCACCTTTCCATGTTAACAGATATCTTTCTGTGACATTATTTAGTAATAGTTTATGTGGATAAACCATGATCGAGTTAATCTATAGTCAGATGTTAAGGTTTGTTTTACTTTTACAGTGTTATAAACAAGACTAGGGGAAATATCTTTTAGTTAAATTGTTGTATCCATAATTATCTCTCCAGGCTAAATTGCTAGAAATGGGATTAATGGATCCAAGGATATAGCTGGCTTTACCCAGACTGTTGTTTCTTGCCATTGTCCTCTGCTGCTTTCTGCCAGTCAGGCAATCTTTCTGTCCTATCCCAGATTTCCTGGTCATTTGCTATGCTGTGCTCATTCAGATACTTTGGAACTGTAGGTCATGCAAGCACATGTTAGACTACAAGGTGGCTTTGTTTACTTTTGTGCTGGTATACTTCGCAAAGTGATTTACCTGGAAGGTTCCTGGCTCAAACATGCACATGTTTGAAGTACTTCCGAGGGCAGTATAAGCAGTTACAGTTAAAGCTAATGGAATCTGCATAGTGCCTGGCTTATAATAAACACTTTAGAATAAGATTAGTCTCAGTAAACACTTGCTGGAAGCACAGGAGGCAAAAGGAGCCCAATGAAGAAACTGGCAGAGAAACGAAGCATGGGAAAAAGCAAAAAGGAGAGCAAAGAAAGGAGCAGAAGTGAATTCATAGTGGTGGTGTCCACAGTACAGACTAGAGATTCATTGTCTACCGCGTGCCTACCGTAACGCTTTGTACTTGCTATTTGTTTATACTCACCATCTTGCTACTGTAGAAGGTCAGCCATTCCATCCCCATTTTATAAATAAGATAAACGAGAGAATATGTAACAATCTAGCTCAAACTCACTTATCTAGTAAGTACTGGACCTGAGATTAGAAGCCATGTCTATCTGACTCAAGTTCATGCACTGTAATGAGCAGGGAGTACTTCACAATCCTTGACTTTGGTTACATCCTGCAGTGAATTTGGTGAAGCCTTGAGCTTTAAGCCTTGAGTTGGATACAGAGAGAAATGGTCATTGGATTGAGTCTGTCTTTCTCTTTCAATTCTTATCTATTATTTCCTTCTAGATAGAAAGAAGGATAATAGATGTGTATTTATCTATCCTATCTATTATTTCCAGTCTAGCTGGGCTACTCATTCTACCCTGACTCTTTTCCTACATCTACTGGTTTCTTTATTTAGGATGGTTTTTTGTTAACAACTGCTATGTCTTTATCCTATTCTGTAATTTATTTCAATTATTTCTCATAGCAGCACTGTGACACATATAATGTTATGCTAGTTCAAGTGATAAGGAAACTAAGCCTCAGAGAAGTTAAGGAAATTGCCTAAGATTAAGCAAATAACCACCCAGCTTGGAATTAACATATAGGGTGCTCTTTGCCTCAAATATTGCTTTCTTTCCTCTTTGCACGTTAATCAAATCAATGTTTCCTGCAAGGCTGAATTTAAGTCTTACTTTGTCTGTGTACCTTTGTACTTTTCCTTACAATAGTAACCTCAGAAACTTTCTCCCAACTCTGAGTGCGCCAGATACAGTGTCAGGAGACAAGGATGTATGTTGAACAATTACTATTCTTAACATCAAAACCCTTAGCAGTGACTTTAAAAGAATTTACAAGCTCAGATGCCTGTTGGTACTGAGAAGCATGGTTCAGTGGAGGCAGTTTAGTATAATAATTGAGTGCAGCTAGGCAATGGTAAGGATATGGTTGAGTAGATGTCGAAGTCAGTCACTGCAAGTCAGATCCAGCGGATAACTATGGATCCAACGTTGCTGGAGAATCTAAGCATCTAGGTTTGTATTTGAATTCTCAAGATCGTAAACATGGTCTTTGGCTAAGCAATACATTCGTGTCAGACTTGTTATTTGGACAGCTAGTTAGAGACCACTGGTCTTTTCTAGTCCCCTATTCTTAAGCATATATTATTGTGTATTGAAACAGATTTTTACATTTATATACAACTTTCTCCCTTGGAGGATCCATAAGCGGTAGGGCATTACAATGAAAGGAAAGAAGGAACTACACCAAAGAGGGATCTGTGAAAAGAATTAAACCTGAAATATAATTAACCTGATTGGATTTACAGAGTAAGGTAAAGAAGGCAATTTGGAAATTTTCAGCTTGCTGAGCTGAGTGGATTAGATTATCATTAGCAGAAATGGGGAATTCAGTGTGTGGTACACCTTGGTAAGAAAAAACTTGTTAATTGTACTGAATACGTAATATACATTAGTCATCCTGGTGGTAGCACCCAGCTAGTATTATTTATGTATGTAGTGACAACTGGTATAATTTGGGAACTGATATGATTTAAAGACTAGAATACAAGTTAATGAAAGAGACAAGGACAACAAAAAGGCAGGAGAAGAATAAGAGAATGCAATGATGGAGAATTCAAAGAAGAAGGAAAGTAGTCAAAAGGAAAGAGTAGTCAGCAGTATTTCTCAGAGACAGTGGGGAAATGAAGTTGTAGAAAATGCTTACTGATTTACCAACAGACCACTGTGGGTTTAGGACAAAGCTGAAGTGGAAGTTAGATTATAAAGGATTAAGAACGGTAGTGATGGAGGGAGATGAAAGCAGTTTATACAGATTCTCTTTTTTTAAAGGTTTGTAGTTCCAAGCAAGAAAGGAAATAGAACATTAGCCCACACATATCAGGATAGGGTGTGAAGTGAAAGTGAAAGAGACTCTATGGGAAAGAAGAATTGATGACGGCAGATTTTTTTGTGACAAAGTCACAGATGTGGAAGTATAGCTAAATGCCTTCAAAACTGGAAATTTAATACATGGTGATCAGGAAAGTAGGACATTTCTGAGTGATAGAGCCATCTGATATAAGGATGTGCTGATTTTCCTTGAGGCTTAAGTTTGGGTAATGGTGAAGTTCACTGGAGATGGTGCACTAGCTGCTGTATCTTACCTAAGTGTGTGTGCGTGCACACGTGTATATAACATACTGTAAGTCTATTGCTGAAAAAGTCACAAATATGAAAATTAGTGCTAGTAATGATAGTAAGATTGAGGTGACAAAGAGAAAAATGTTGACTTCATTGAATGGGGAAGAATATCTTAGAAGGGGAAAAACAGAACACATGATTTTTCTAGGTACTGTGGGATAGCCAAGGGAAAAAACACGAATTTTTGTCCTTAAGAGATAATGATCTCTTTAGAAGTACATGGTTAACGCATAATAATCAGAATGGCAATGAAGAGCTTTTAACCAAATGCTGCCACATGGGTACATGGTAAGACGTTCATCACAGTGAAATCACTGGAGGGCACAGAAGGCTTCATGAACTACGGGGCTAGTACAGAATCTAGTGTCGACAGGAGAACAAAGGACTGGGAGCTGAAAGCTTTGTTATCATCTTGGGTTTGTTATTCATGTCTGAGAAATAACTTTGTGTAAGTCTGGATTTTAGTGTCCTCATATATAAATGGAAGGTTTTTCTTAGATAATCTCAAGAGTTGTTTCCAATCCTTTGCAGTCTTTGATCATGGAGAACATTCCAGGTGGAGGACCCAACATTCTAAAAAGCAACACACAACTTGTAAAACTGAATCGCTTGATCTATCCATCATTAAGTTACATTATTGTTATGAATCTCTTTGAACAAGCTTATAGAATTTAGAATCATACAGTGAAGCAGGGAGGTACTTCTCATTCAACAGAGATCATGAAAAAGTATGGTTTATTAAGATATTTTGGCTAGCCTCACTGCAGATTCAAAAGAACCTAAAGATTTTATGAGGTTTATTTGTTTGCAAAAATCCCTCAAAGTATTTCCTATCATTGAGCTGGAAATCATAGCTCTAAGTCATTTGACATATAAATTAATGAATCTAGTTCTGTCACTACATTTGCCACTGCCCTAATCCCTACCACTTGAAGAACAGCGGCTTTTCCTTCACCTTAACCGTGTAAAAAAATCCAGTGTATCTTTATATCCACAAATGATGCAGCTTTCTAAAAATATTATCCACAAAGAAAATGTTTTTTTCCTTCCATTTTTAGAAATAGCAAGAAGCCACATTTTACCTTGTGTTCTCTGCAATTGTCAAATATTAGCTAGTTCATGGGGGTATAACATTTAAATTCAGTGTCATTCAGATAATGAAGATTTATAAACTATGAGGTACAAGAAACTGAAACAAAAAAATGTTAATATGGTGGATTTTTAGCATACGTACAGACTATTAGATTTTCTAAAGTATTGCTGATATAGAAATATTTGTCCAGTGGAAAGGAAGGGAAATCCTATCCCAGTTTCTGAGGGG